CTTCAGGGAAGTGTTTGTAACTCTTATCTCAAAGTAATTCCAGAATAGAATTGAGATCTGCCACCTGCCCGTTTACACGAGCCTTCAGATGAAGGGGATGGCGCGTGCGGTGGCACGCAACTAAGGCGTGTCAAAATGTTTCCAGGCCTTCTGCTCTGCTTTCTTCAGGGGATCAAAGTTTTGTGGGGCATTTATTTGCGCTTGCCTCCAGGGTGTAAAATACAGAAATCTAGAGCTATTAGGTGGAAGGTTCCATTGTAACAATTCTTCGAAAGCAACGAACTCGAAAAATCGCTTTTTAGAGAATTTTTGCTTTATTCTTGGGTGCTCGGTCCTGTAAAAAGTCCCAAGTAGACTACTCGTGTGGCTTTCTATCCACTACAGATGTGGAGTCTTTAGAGTGTCTGGCTGGGTTTTCACATCAATTTTTTCATTTTGGGAGTACGAAAGTCGACAAGGGGAGTGCATCTGCATCTGACCTCCGAATTTTCCATCTGTGGTGGTTCCAAACTTATTGAAGAGTTGAACTGTTGCTCATAAGAGCTTCCCTGATAGGTTAGACTGCCGCTAGATGTAACGTGCCAGAGCCCCTAGTGAGTTCAATTTGAGGACTGACAAAGGTGATGTAGTTATTTCACTAGTTTGAGAACTTGCATGAAATTTGGTTTCATTAGGAAGAAGACATTGTACCCTTTCACATAGTGCACAGAAAAGGAGACGAAAATGCAGCGACTCGGAAAAAAGTGGATATGACCTAGCGCGCATGCGGTCCTCATAATTGTGGACCACCCTGTAGTTTACAAAGCGCGAAGTCTAGGAGTAAGAGCAGTTGAGCATTCGAGGATGCCATTGGTAGGGAACATGGTGTCAGGGTGGGCTCGTTAGATGTGCGATTGCCTGCAATGTGGAACACAGGTTCTATGATAAGTATTATTCCGCTGGAAATGTTGGCACGCGCCCGAAAAGAAGCGTTCGGTACGGCAAACTTGGAAGTGTTGCTAGAGGAATCCATGGTACCGGTGCACGTGCAATCGTATGAACTTCTTGGGAGCTGTTCAAGTGCAAGTAGATCTAGAAGGAGGTAACACGGCTGTCGTAGCCTTTCAAATTGCGGATACAATGATAAGGAGATTCTCCTAGGAGTGATGCGCTACAAAGCCTAGACCGCCGTCGCACTCGACGGCGGACAAGCGATGGAGCGATCGCGATTGGCACGCGAATGCGCAATCTCTTTGTGTTGTCCGTACGGACAGCGTCCGCGACGGCACGGACTATGAAAGCAGCCTTAAGTGGGTGCGGCGCAATGTGGTTCGAGGGGGCCAGTCGCCGCGCACGATCTCTGCGTCTTTCTGTGTAAGCATTTCCTCTTCGCTGAATCAAGACTAGGCAGTCGGGTGCAGGGTCAACCCGAGTACGACCCCCCCCGTTGTTACGAGTAACAACGGGGGGTCGTACTCAGTTGAGCTTGGAGGGGGGTCGTACCCTCTCGGTGGCCGACAGTGGGATTCTTGGTAATATCGGATAATAGCCAGCACGTTACGTTTTCGTAAGATGACTGATACTAGAGCATCTATAAACCACGCTTCCCTCTAAATGAGCTTTCAAATGAATCAGCGAATTAGAAGGGCGCCCGAGGCGTGGCGCGCACCAAGGCAAGGGATGTAGTGCAAGCGCATGCTCGAAGCTTTCTAGCACATCCTAATTAAACATGAAATTGGTCTTCCAAGAAGTTACGGGCAGTGAAACCTAAGAAAACCCGCGTTTTCGGGAAAATGGCTTGAAGAATACCCCTCAAAAAAAGTAACAACGGGACTAATTTTTGAACTGCTGACTTTTCAGGAACGCTTGGGTGCTCTTAGAAAGCTTGAATCCTGTAGTTTATTCATACCGTGTTCAGCTTCCCAAATGAATGACTTTGAAGGAAGTTATGATCGTTTGAAGGTAAAAAAGTCGCGGTTCCAAAAAATAGTAACGCAAACCCCCAAAAAAGTAACAACGGGACTAATTTTTGAACTACTGATCTTTCAGGAACGCTTGGGTGCTCGTTAGAAAGCTTGAATCCTGTAGTTTATTATACGTGTTCAGCTTCCCAAATGAATGACTTTGAAGGAAGTTATGATCGTTTGAAGGTCAAAAAGTCGCTTTGCACAGAAAAAAGTAACAACGTACTAAATTTTTATTAAATTAACTTTCGAAGAATTTACCCATGGTTGGAGAGAGAATACAATGTGTCCCATAATATTGCACCAAATTTTGAGCCCAAATTCTGCGGGTGTTTATAGCTTTTCTTCCGAGATTGGCAGACCTTTCAATCCTCTATCCTCTTGTCAATGACCATGCCAAATTCCACGGCTTACCGTTCGGCCTGCATCTCATGGTGCGCCTAAACTTCAACAGAGTGCCTAACCTCTCACACAGCTAGGTCGGACATCCGGTGATGAGCATCGCGCTTCTTTGGATTTTCAACCGCTCCGCGGCCTACCGTGCACTGAAGAGAAGACCAATAAAAACAGTCTCTACTGCGACCGTCCCACAAGTTCTGACATCTTGGATCTCAGGAAAAGCATGAAGAAGCGAAACGACTGCAATACCCGGGTTTACCCGAGAAAGGCGCTGGAGTTTCAAAAACAGTCATGTAGAGAGTGGTCGGATAACAACTGCTCACAGTCCGTTATAAGTTGCATAAGCACCACTGCTCAATCCAACGGGAGGAGCACAGCAGAGACAAAAAGTTCAAAGAGCTGGTGTCGAGGGCCGAAAATGGCGATTACGCGGGCACCGTTTTCATCGACGACAAATTCCTCACATGGAGCGGAGCTACAATCTTCAAACTCCGAGGATGGCAAGAGGTCTTGAGGAAGTCAGCGAGAGTAAAAGAAATATTCGTCACAAGCAGCAGCCGACCTTATCATGGTCTGGACAGGGGTATCAACTACCGGTCGCTCACCATCACTGCCTGTTTATAAAGGAATACAACTTGATACTAGATCGAGCCAAGGGACATTTCGGTGCACCATCTGTTACTGAGGTATCTAGCCACTTTGAGGAGGGGTGATGATCTTTTCAATAGGACCCAGCTTCTGCATAGGAGGCAAAAATTGTTCAGGAGCGCTGTTGAGGCACTCTTTCCGATTTCACATCCTCGAACGAATGGCTCTCCTATCCTTGATTTCAACGTGCTGGACCATCCTATGTGGGCTATGTTAGAGGGCAGAGCCTGCACACTAAACATTGCATCCACATGGATGAGCCGGAGCCTTTTCTCTGCAAAGTTTTGAAGAGAACACCCCAGGATGCCATGCGGGCCACAGTAGAGTTGCGTTCGAAGCAATTGGGAGCCATACTCACAACAACAGGGGAGCATATCCAATGAATGTCATTCCTTTCAATATGTAAATGTATTGCTAAATTTTGTAAAACCTCTTGAAAATACATCCATTTTGAAAGAAGTTACAAGCAAAGAAAAGTGGTGCAATATTTATGGGACACCCTGTAATTTGAATTTTCCAAATCAAATCACTTCGGCGCAGAAGCTCGAATATGAAGGAAGTTATAGCCTTAGAAAGAGGGGTGTAAAAATTGTGTTGCAATTGAAGAACGTGAAGGATTTCAGTATTTCAATTGGAGCGATAATTTTTTCTGACTTCTCATAAGTTTTTATCAGGTAATATTGTCAATATTCCGGTCACTGGTTCAGTTTATTTCATCTCCTAGTTTGGTAACCCTTTGGAGTACACGGATATCTTTGAATGCATCTCATTTTTTCGTGTTTGGAAGCAGCGATGAATATCTGTCGTGGATTTTGCTAAAGTTTCATCTTTGATGACTTACGTAGAAATAAATATTGATGGTAAACACTGTCTCTACACAAGTGTCACATACAAGGGGGGTCGTATCAAATCACCCATGAAGGGGGGGGGGTCGTAAAAAATTCCAAAGAGTAACAACGATAGGGTTGACCCTGTTCGGGTGTGGGATCGATCGCGGACAGAGCTGTCGCCTGTCGCTTCCGCTTCCGCACTATGCGAGCGATTGCGCATCGCGTCCACATCCTCTCCGGCCAAGGATTCCAATCGACGGACAGCACGGACGAGCACATTAGCTGCAATCGCTTGTCCGTCGCCGAGTTTGACGGCGTCATGGGGGTACAGCTGTTTATAAGGTCAGAAAGGAGAGATGGCAGGGATAGGTATGGTAACTAGCAGAAATAGAAGGGAAGGGAAGCAAAAGTTAGAGTAAATAAACTGAGTACTTCAGCATTCAGAGGCGCCGATATTCGCGTGAAAAGCGACAAAGGCGACTTGAAAATGTAAAACGGACAGGGATTTTCTGAATTAGGGACCCCAGGAACGACATCACATTATGGTGACTCGAAGTATGTCGTACGTTCTGTGAAAGTCGTTGTACGAATGTGCAAGAAAAAAGCAAAATGGAATAGAAATGCTTCCACAAATAAAGAAAGTAGAGCATCATCTGATGTGGGAATCGGCACCCGGGGGGGGCGTGTTGAGCAGGTCAGCGATCTGCCCCCTGGAAGAAAAGAGACATGGGTGGGAAACAGAACATATAAAAAGGGAAGATGACATCGTGTGAGGTTCTGGAGCACTGTCCCTTGTCGAGCCTCTTCTCCGCCCTCACTATTCCACTGAACTACGGGCTTATCCCCCGTTTCATTCGTTCTTTTTCCGCATTGTAAGTTTTTTCGTAGGGTCAATTTCCGCGTTGAATCGTTACATACTGTTGGCTAAATAATAAATAATTGATTGCACTTGGTATGATTGCTCGTACTGGCCGTTTCACGGTCCATACCGCTCTACCGAACCAGATATTCGGTACGATAGCGGATACATTCCAAATTGTTCCCAAGCGTATTCAGCGTTTTTTTTTATATCACGAATCCACTAAGAAATCACTTCAAAGTCATTGCCGCGGAGAACAACATGAGATGGCAAGAAAACCACGAGCAGCTGCGCCGGAAATTACTGAAAAAAGGGCATCGACTACATCATACCTGCTCCTGCTTTGTATCCGTGCTTTGATATATGATTTTCCACCATCCTTGCTGCAAGAGGGTAAAACATTTTTGCGCCCATTTCGGGACTTTCACGAGCCTGAAGAATTCCAAAAATAGGAATGACTCACAAAATCAATAAGAGAATTTCATAAGAAATTACTAATGCACCTGCATAACTATACTCATTACACCCCAAAAGAAATAGGGAGTGTTGTTAAACTCCTTGAACAAACGCATTGCCACCAACTGTTGATTTTTATACGATCTAAAAACTAATCGTGTAAAAACATAATAACATATTTTCATGAATCACTCACCTATTCCTAACGTGAGCCATAAAAAGATGTGTAAGATTCTGTTCAGTTGGGGAGACCGCAACCGCTCGCTCATAGAGTGTTGTTATTCTGTCTGGACAACCAGCTTCCTTAATGTAGCGTTTTGTGAAGTCCCTCAAGAAGGACCCAGTTCGTAGAAACTTGGTCACGCGCTTGTTTGTATTTAATTGAGAAAAATACCTCTGTAGTAGAAGGTGCGCATTACCCTCATCGAAAGTGCACAATTTCATTCATCTGCTTCGACGTATGTGAAAGGTTTATCTATTGCCTCATCACGCCACTCAAATCAATCAACAATCTTGTAGATCAATCTTACGCGCAACAACTAGCTCGGTGGACCTGCTTACAACCTGTGGGCTTCTTTTTAATGATTCTAGGATTTGAAAACAGCTCATGCCCACACCTAGCATAACTAGTGGACATGCACGGCAAGGGCGTCATCGCAAGAGCGTAAGAAGTAGTTTATTGAGTCGAAGAAAAATGGAAGCTGCACGCTGAGAAATCAAATGGGCTTCGGAAGATCAACATGAATCCTGGTGATACAAAACTTTATTCGTATGAAAACATCAAAAATTTGAGGACTATCCCGGCAAGCTACCCCAAAACTTCGCCTTATTCCCGTACTGACTAATTAATAGAAAGGTTCAGGAAATTGAAAGATAAAAATAGGTAGCTGGGAACCACTCTAGCTATTCAACGCATGTGTTCGCAAGTTGATCCATGATCGCAGGTGAAACGCGCCTACATACGCTTATTTTGATATCCGTTGTTTGATATCATTATGAATCTTCAACTCGACAAAGAAAGAATGAGAAGATAGATATAAGAAGCACTGAATGTATTAAAAGTGTGACAAGAATACTGTTACTCACAAAACGGCGGATATTGAAGGTTCACAAAGTTGTCGTTCAATTATCGCTCTACACTTCGCTGCAGCGAACACCCGTGTTAGCCCCTGGCTTTCATATAAAACAGAAGCAGAATAGATGTCAGGCCTCCATCTAGCTGTCGACTTCAATTGAATACACCATGGAGATCAAATGAATTAGGTAATGGTATTCCAGGTGTCCACAGATCAGCACCGTAAACTTCACGCAAAGGGACAGCTTGTTCTAGGACTGTGTTGAGATCGCCTGTGAGTCTTCGAAAGCAACTCGAAGACATTGAGTCTTCTGTGATAATTATGCTGCACCCAACGCGGGCACCTGAGTTTAAGGGGCATCAAAGGGTGAACCAGTTGACACAGTTCAAGTAGTTTTCCAGCGCGGTAGTATGCTTATCGATAGTTTTAGAACGGATACCGCTCGAAGGAGAACATCGCTTTCAAGGAACTGCTGAAATCTTGGATCAGAAAGGTGAATTTGTATACGACAAAAAAGATACATGCATGAGGCAAAGGCAGCGATGAAAACTAGCGATACCAGCGACGCAAGAAGTGAGCTATCGCGGTGCTCTCAGGATTTAATACGCTTCGTAGAAGCGGTAGCACAACAGTGCATTCGCAGGATCGTTGACATTGCCGTCTGGTGACCATTCAAAAAAAAACTAGTGCAGAAGAATGACGCGAGTTACATCACCATGCGTTAATAAAAAATGGCCTCATGAAGCATACCTTGAAGCAATGAACGAAGGCCTGCAACGTGCTGTCATCGAAATGGGCACCAGGAACGTCTAAGGTGTTGATGATTTCGAAACCGTCGGCAAGCTTGTCTGACCGAATGAGTGCCAACGCTTTGAGCACCTAACATATATGAAATATTACCTCAACCACAGTCCAGATCCGAAAGTTGGGGTAGGCGTGTCACCGGAAACGTGGCTGACGTGCACTTGATAGAAGTTGCGTGGATAAGCTGTTGCCAGCATGCTTTGCTGATATCCAGCGATGTATGTTGGAAGCAGCTTATCCACGCTTCTATCAAGTGCGGCGATGACCACTTCGTCTCGGTGACACGCCTACCCCACTCGGATATCGACTGTATATCTGAATGACGACGCAAAAACTCTACTAAATCACAATAAATTAATGAATGTGCATTTTAACTATTCCCATACCGCAGCATGAGGTTTTCAACAGCACACCATAGCTATACACCCGCAATTAAAGGTTTGCTAAACTGGGGAGCACCATTCAGAAACCACAAGTGTTTGTTGTTATAATGTGATACCCTGAGAATAACTCGCCATGTGGCGCTGCGGTGCGGTCCAGCAGTTACTGACGCTTTTTCACAGCGGTTGCCGAATTTTTAACTTAACACATTGCGAACCGCGTGCGCCACCATGTGGCGCACGATTTCGCACGAAACAGCATAGTTTAATCTGATTTATTTGACATTTTTCAATGCTCCTGAACTGTTTGCACTCATTTTCAGACCGGAAACCATACGTGTCATCACTGATAAAATTGTTGATAGATTAATGATGATACATTTTTGAAAAATATAAAAAAGATACGAAGGATACTCATACAACGGCGGTCCGCAATGTGTTAATAACACCTTTGCCCGTGAAGAACTTCCTTGTATTCAGACCGATGCCACTTTCCTCCGAGTTCTCAAGGTTAATTTCCAAGCATCCGCTATGTCCAATACCGCACCTTCGCAGGCGATAAATTTGAATAAAAAATGAGAGCCCCATACCACATCTTTTCGTGAAAATGTAGCCGATCAAGTATACCCTAAGGCGCTGACAGGCATGCATTGCGGCGCCTGCATGCCGTTAAAAATTGCATTTAATGCCGAACGCGTGTTCAGTGCTTGGTCTATGAGCCTCTTTAGACTTCGATGCGAGGGCATCCGTGCACCAAAACAAGGACTGCATGCTATTCTCCCACAAGAGAACGCGCCCATCCACTCGACACTGACCTGGATCTGCTATGTTCCCTCAGGTGAGGGAGCATAGCATCAGGAGTGAAGATTCAGTCGTCAACACGTGAGGAGAACGAAGTTGGCATCGTTCGTCAATTCGGAACCAGGAGCCCTCCAGCTCATAAAGTTGAAGACCTAGCCGTCCACAACGACATCGGGAAACTCCCCTCTCGATTTCGAGAGAGACCGATCTGCTCACATCCCGTGAGCTCGGCAAAACTCCAGACTGACTGATCAGCTCGATCAGAAGACGGATCGACAGTAGATGGGGGCGTGGCTTAGGTTTATGCCCATGTAAGAAAATATAAAATACGGAATAGTACATCTCCTGCACCTGCGTGCGCTTTAACAACCTACACGCGACCCCACATCCGAGGATTCATTACCCTCAAGTTACCTAAAGGCCGATGTCATAGTTTGCGAATCGCTGGATCCGAGCGTTGCGCCAGCGAATCGAACGTTGCACCAGCGAATCGAACTTTGCGCCAGCGAGTCGAACGATGTACCAGCGAGTCGAACTATGTACCAGCGACTCAATAGTGGCGGGACCCAACGTTCAAAGGAAGCCCGCCACTTTCAAACAGTGTCACGTGACAGTGGACGCTGTTTGAAAGTGGCGGGACTTTGCAGTGGGTCACGTGACAGTGGACACTGTTTGAAAGTGGCGGGCTTCCTTTGAACGTTGGGTCCCGCCACTATTGAGTCGCTGGTGCAAGTTCGATTCGCTGGCGCAACGCTCGGATCCAGCGATTCGCTAGCGAATCGCTCGATTCGCAAACTATGACATCGGCCAAAGGATGACTCAGAGAGACTGGTTAGGTTACCCGTGTATAACAAACATTTAGGGATACATTTCGTAAAGCTCCAAAAGACGCAGAACTCGCACTCCCCGGACCAGACGCGAAGTCTGGACCACGAGTGGCACGCTTTACGCCGACATCCTGCTAGACATACCTCACACTGCAGTTTTACAGTGCATGTTCACCACGCTATGACATCATTCAGGCCGTTTACCCGCTTGGTTTCGTGATCGCACATATCAGCACGATGGGTCTTTGTTTTTAGTTCCAATTTTCATTTTGATTTTCGGTTCTAATTTTCATCGATGGGAGCGGGGTAGTGGCAAAAGGCAGCTATGAGGAAAGCAAACCAGCCCTTGATCAAATCCCGGCTCAAATCCGCCTTATAGGCCGATGTCATAGTTTGCGAATCGAGCGATTCGCTGGATACGAGCGTTGCGCCAGTGAATCGAACATTGCAAGAGCGGATCCAACTATTCAGATAGCCCGCTAACATTATAAAAATCTTTATTTCAGTAATCAGGACCAAAACAAATTTTATCATAATCACCATGTTCGAAGTGTCACGTAACAGTGGACCCTTTTTGAAAGTGGCGGGACTTGACAGTGGACACTGTTTGAAAGTGGCGGGCTTCCTTTGAACGTTGGGTCCCGCCACTATTGAGTCGCTGGTACATCGTTCGACTCGCTGGTGCAACGTTCGATTCGCTGGCGCAACGCTCGGATCCAGCGATTCGCTAGCGAATCGCTCGATTCGCAAACTATGACATCGGCCATAGCAGGCCAAGATTGATGCGTCAAGTCAAATTCGGAAGCCTGAGAGCTATTTACATGGATAAATTACGGCGACAATCGTATGGGAGGCACTTGTTTTGAAAAAAAAAACTTATTTTGTATACAAATAGTCTTACCTTGGCACAGATTGTAACAGGATGTTTTTTCAAAACTTTGTCAGCTTCTTGGACAGCTTTTTTGGGATTACCAGCGTCAATGGCATCTAGGAAAGATGATGACATCGATTAAACGCATGTTTTTAACAGGATACCCACCGTATATCGGTCGTAAGCGCCGCTCAATGACGAGTTGATCGGCCTTCGACATCGCCCGTTTCTACACCATACAGCACCCTTGAATGGGAATTTACAGGCATTTGTACAAAAGGAGGCGTCATTGAAAAAAATATCACAGTAACGGCTGATCAAAACAGTTTTTATACGATAATCGTGCAAAAACTATTGATATTCCTCTGCATCACACGGTAGAATATTTCTAAAACAAACAGAATGCTGTGGAACACCATGAAACTGCTAGTTCCGTTTGATCCAAAGCATCACAAAGTGGTTCTCTATCCAGCGTGACATTCAATTCATCAATCTTATCAATCTTCAAACCCAAATAGCGGAATTGAAAAAAGGAAGCATCTTCTAGGGAAGCGTTTTGCTTTAGCCGCAATGCAAGGTTAAGATCTTAAATTGCTCCCCATTAAATCACAACAAATAGATTGCGCAAAGTTAGGAGTTCTGCTGGTACAAGCTACAGGAGATAATTGTTAAATAAGAGACGTGAGTTTGTGTGAATAATTGTGTCGAGCATGATGTACTTTGTGTAATAGATACGGCAGAGCAGAGATGGAGAGTAGGGAGCGAGGAAGTACGGAGAATAGAACGCAAAGCGAAGACGCAGACGTAAGTCCGATCACGGAACAGGGAACAGCGTTTTACTGAATTGTGAGAAGCGTTCTCGATAAGGTTTCTGTTACTATGTGCTTTATTTTTCTTGTTTGCTATTAGTTTATTTGGCGCAATGTGGCTCGGGGGGGGCACCTCGCAACATCGCGTCAAAATCACGGAAACGCTCCGTTTTAGGACTAAGCTTTTGAAGAGGAGAGGAACTCCGGTGTACGGAAGCAATTTTCGTATTCTCCGGAGTTCGTCCCTGCTGTTTAGGCTTAGTCCTAGATGACTTTTCTCAGCCCGAGCCACATTGCGCCGTTTATTTTGTTCAAGTAGCGCCCTTCGACATCCTATCGGTCATATCTTACAGATGAGCATTCCTGGACTCCGGTGATTAGGGGATTTAGGGATGTGTCTTTAGCATTCTTGAGGGTGCGAGCCATGTTGAACATACAGTCGATATCCGAAAGTTGGGGTAGGTGTGTCACCGGAAGTGACGTGCACTTGATAGAAGTGCGTGGATAAGCTGTTGCCAGCATGCTTTGCTGATATCCAGCGATGTATGTTGGAAGCAGCTTATCCACATAGCTTCTATCAAGTGCACGTCACTTCCGGTGACACGCCTACCCCAACTCACCGATATCGAGTATATGTCATTCCATTCGAAAAAGCTTCAAGATTGTAAACGAGGCAACTTCATTCTTTGGATGAAGTGAGAAATGACAGATGTTTTCTGCATTCTTCTTTTCTTTGTTCCACTTTATTCCAACCGGTTAAGCGTAGGTTATAACTGTAAGAACACATTACACATTTTGTAGTTAATTGTGATGTGCGTTAAAACAGTTATTGATAAGGAAACTGGTGAAAGATGTGTCCATCATATGTGCTTATCTGCAGTTTTCTACTCTCTTACATCACTATCACATAAATCACTGACATGGGGCCGTATGCTGAATGTTGGGTAGGGGAGGGGATGGAGTAAATAATGGGGAGGTTCGTCGCAGGACCCACTGGGCAACGGTCGCACCTTTGATTTTGCAGCTTTGTTTCCATTCTTTATCT